CTATTTAGAGCGATATATATAGTGATAAGAACTTATTGATTGTTTGATAGACAGCTAGAGACAAATCAATAGCTATATATATATATATATATATATATATATATATATATATATATATATGTTTGTTTGTGCGTGTGTGTGTGTGTGTGTAACCAGAAAAAAACGATAAAAGCACATAATTATAGATTTTAAGATAGTTGAATATAAGCCGGTCGATATCTAGATAGGTACAAATTCTAGAACAAATATTTTTGCGTAAACCATTATTGATTCTTACTCAGGCCGTTAAAAGTGCCCGGTTGGCTTAATGGTTCAAAACACGGGCAAAAGGATCAGGGAACCTGAGCTTAATTTCTGCTGAATCAGTTGACATTTTCCTCAAACTTTCAGTAATATGTGGATAGTATATTCTCACTGATCCTTTATTCAAACGTTTATTTCAATCTGATGGCAATCTATGTTTTCATTATTATTATTATTATTATTATTATTATTATTATTATTATTATTTGCAGCCATTTTTTCTTCTAGATCAACTCTCCAAATAAGTTGGCTGAATGTCCATTCTGAGAATTAACTCAACTGGAAAGTCAAAGACAGAAATGTTTTAAAAGATCTTTCAGATTTATCTCCCATTTTTAAATCTCTGTTGAATTTTTTTTTTATAGATATCTCGACTTTAATTTAGACATTTTTTTTGTTTGTGGTCTCTAATACAATGTCTGGGCGGTTGGCTTTGATTGTTCTGTCAGTGAGTATTGTGTAGTCCCATAAAATTGTAACAGGTTCTATCTCCGTAACCGGGTCTGGGTGGTGTTCATACCAGTTTCTTTTAGTTTTCTTCCCGTAGACGTTGCAAATTTTCCAGGGCAGTTATTGCCCCCACTCTGTCATGTCGGGTTTTATATTCAGTGGGTGCCAATATCGTGCAACCTGATACAAGATGATCAATCGTTTCTGGATGTTTATTACAGATTATTATTATTATTATTATTATTATTATTATTATTATTATTTCTTTCGATTTCTTTCTGGGTCCCGCCCAGAGACCTAATGTTAAAAACGGCATCATGACATTTTCCACTGACCAATGAAAAAAAAAATTACATAGATAAAGCCCTTCGTAAGCCGTGGCCTGTATCGTGAGAAGAATTTGTTGTATTTCTTTAAGGCATAAACTTCCCTTCAATTAGGCTACTGGAATTTTTTTTCCAATCGATCCGAGGGCTCCAACTACAACAGGGATTGTTGATGCTTCCATGTGCCACATTTTTGAGATTTCGATTTCAAGGTCCTTGTATTTTGATAGCTTTTTGAAGATCACCAAAGATACATTGCAGTCAGCAGGGACTGCCATATCAGTGAGGAGGCAATTTTCTTCTTTGCGGTCTCTAATAACAATGTCTCGGCTGTTAGATTTGATTGTTTATTATTATTATTGTTATTATTATTAATATTATTATTAGTAGTAGTAGTAGTAGAAGTATTAGTAGTATTGGCGTTATTATTATTATTATTATTATTAGTAGTAGTAGTAGTAGTAGTGTGGTGTCATAATTATTATGCAGCCTACCCATATTTTGAACAGGATTAGAGGGTTTATCCCTTGTTTCCTGTTTAGAGTTGGCTTGAGCCTTCTCATTTTCTTTCGCCACTAGTAAACTTCTTGCATCTTAGTGGCATTATCGCCTTACCTAGAAGCCTCATCCTTCCAAATTAAAAATAAACAAACAAAGAAACAATCCTCTGATGGTACTGCCACATTCCTTCCGTACATGAACTGAGATACCCAGTGCCTAACTCCATCAGGGCATACCTTACTTGTTAAGGTCAGGCAGCGGACAAGAAAATATTCGGTGTTGAACTTGATCTTTATGTATCTCATCGTAAGTGACCAAAAAAACGTTCATGCTAACATCGATAATGAATTGGCTACCAAGAATCCCTTCAATGGGTTTATGGGTACTTTTTCCAGTTAAGCCAAAGAGTCCAAGCACAGATTGAATTATTGGAGATGCATCGATTATTGGATCAAGATATAGCCCATGCAGCATGTCCCTGCTCTCCACGTTGCTGATGGATCCAAAGAAATAGCAAGGCCATTGCAATTTGGCAGAATTTCCCCTATCTCTTAGGGGCTACATCTCCCAATTTTTTTTTTTAGCTGTATAGGGCTACATACATTTACCACTTTCTGGCACATCGGTTGCCACTCAAGCTTATAGAATCAAGGTTGTCCTGCTATTTACCCATGTGGGAGAAGAAGAGGATTCGTAGTTTTCCCAAAGATATTAGCACGTAATGGATCAGACTGGAATTCGAACTCGGCTCTCCGATTCCTCAATCCGAGCCGCTATCCATTACTACACCTTGCCTCCATCAACTGCTGCTATTATTATTAGTAGTAGTAGCAGTAATAGTAGTAATTCTATTATTAGTAGTCATATTATTATTAGTAATAGTAAACATTTGTTAAACTCAGAAAAAAACAATAAACGTGTGCTGAACTGCTGTCGCATCTTGTCTTCCTATATGGCAGTGAATGTTAGACAATTTTCAAACAGAAGGAGAGAAAACTGGAGCCAACAGAAATATGTTCTACAGAAGGATACTGAGAATACCATGGATGATGCACTTAAGGCAGGAAGATATCTTAAGGAAAATGAAAACAAGAACATTTATATTGGGAATCACAAAGAGACAGTTGAAATTCCTTGGACACATTATGAGGAAGATAGGCTTGGAGAATTTGACACTGAGAAGACGTATCGAAGGCAAAATAGATAGGGAATGGCACCGGGAAACTTACATGACGAACTTATGTGAACGGCTGGTGGACAATGGTGGGAAGGATGGCAAAGGGACAAGCTTTCCAGGATGCTACATGCGATAGGAGGTTGGGGAGAGCCATTAACAAGCACCTCCTAAAGGAACACTATACAGAAAAAGTGGTATGAGTTGTGCCAGTGATGTTAGTAGAAGTATTAGTAGTAATAGCGATAGGGACAGGTTGATAGATAGAAAGCGAATATAGGGATATAAAATGAACATTGTTGAATAACTGGCAGTCAGGATCGAACTCGCATTGTATCTTATTGCATAGTAACAGAAAATCATTTATTATCCCGCAAGAGTAGGCGTTTTCAACGTGGGTAAATCTTAGAAATATTTACGACTATTGAAATATGCGCTGATTTTTAATTTAATTTTTTTTTCTTCCTATTTTTTCGTTAATTTTACTGTTTCATTTTTCTTTCTTTTCTTTTTTAAAGAGAGAAATAGATAGAGAGAGAGAGAGAGAGAGAGAGTGTGACAGAGAGAGTGTGTTTGTTTTTTTCCGTATCATTTTTTTTTCGAGAATGTGTGAAAAAAATCAAAAAAAAAAAAAGGAAAAATGTGACAAGAAGAGATACAGAACGGAAAGAAAAAAAAATGAAGTTAAAAAAAAAAAATAACGAGTAAAAAAAAAAAGAGAGACGGGAAATGAAAGAAAGAAAAACTAGGGAAAAAAAGAAGAAAAAAACTCAAAACGAAATCGGAATGCGTTATTGTAGTGTTTGAGCTTCAGAGGATTTTGTGCGTTGCCAAACGAAATTTGTTGCGCTGAGTTGGTTAGAAGAAATAAATAGGTAAACAAAAGAATGAACAAAAAGATATAGAATTTGTTTTTTTTATTCTATCGGGAACTGATGTGTTCATGAAAATTCCTGAAAGAGTTTCTAAATCTAGGAATCCGATGATATACCCTGTAAAACACTGTCTCTCAATTTTCTTTCCACAATACACCCTTTTCAAGATATGTCAAAATGTCACTGCTCCCTTCCTAAGGTTGTCCGACTAAAAAAGTGCATTTCAAATAATATGCACATATTACTGAAAATCCTCATTCTTTTCCTTATTAGTACATATACAGGGTGCGATAGGTAAATTGTCGCCATTTTGTACTCTTAATTTCGCACATGCGCATTGTTTGCTTTTGATTCTGTCGACTGGTGAGTATATTAGGGTCAGTTGGACACCGCTTGTGAGAAAAAGAGCATGATGACGCAATGAACTCCGCTAGAAATTTGGAAACGGATGCTGTACTGCTTGTCATTCGCGCCGGAATCTTCAATACGAACATTTCAGAGTATTTGGCTGTCAATCTGTGGACAGTGCAGAGGATTCAGAAAGAGTTGGATGAGGCTAATGGTGATTACGAAAGTACGGTAGCGCGGGAATCTCACTCTGATAAGTCTGATAAGAAAAGAACTACCAAATTTATTGATGAAGTCCTCAGAGACAACACGAAAGCCTACATCAGTTGCCTTCTGGAGGTAGTGCTGCCATGGGTCAAGAGGGTGGCTGCTGGATGAATCTATGTCTGGCAACAGGACTCTGCATCATGCCACACAAGCATGAAGACACAGTCAAGGATGTTTAGACAATTTCTGCGACCACATCACCCTTTACATCTGGCCTCCTAACGCCCAAGGCTTGCAAATCTCTTGACTACTATGTCCGTTGCGCAGTTATGCAAGAGACCGACAAAAAACTCCTCGTAACCCCAACGATTTTCTGACGGCAAGGATTATGGCAGCATTCACCAACTTAAACGGGAACACCGTCCAGAAGAGTTGCAAGAAATTCGGAAGTCGTTTGCGGGCCGTTGTTGAAGCTAATGGCGATTTTATTGGATAAAGTTGCTCTTTATTATTTCAGGATATTTTTTACGCATTGTTAGTAAATATCTGTTAGAATGTCAGTTTTGTTTTTCATTTATGCGTCATTTAGACAATTTATCGAACGCACCCTGTACACTTGCATGAAGTATTTTATAAGTGTAGTTGGTTTTACATTCATGATCTGCGCCACTGTAAATTTAAAAAAAAAAAAAAACAAGAAAATTAAAATATTTTCCCTCCCACACTGAAATTCCCTGAAGTGGAAATTTTCCCCTGGCTGAGAACGACTATTGCAAAAAAAAAATAAAGAATTGAGGGTTTGAAAATATTTTGTTTATGCGTGAAGATGTGAATGAGCGAGGGCTTTGTTCTACTCAAGTCAAGTGATATCTATCCTTATGGCCTCTACAATACACTCCTACTTCTCCCATTACTACTCCCTCAAAATTTTACTCAGCTACACTCTACTTTGAGTGGCGCTATACAATCTATGCGCGTCGGTGAATAAAAAAGAACATGACTGAAATCGAAACTCGGTT